GCATATATTTATGTCAAAAATTAATACATCAGATTTACTGTTTTCACAGTTGAGGGTGACAGTGTTTTGACAGATGATAAATCAAATCAATTAGGTGTAATTTTCAAACAGCACTGAAGTGTGAAAAGTTTTACGGCTGCTTTCATCTTTTTATATTCATTTCCCGTTTTTACTCATAAACCATGATTCATATCTCTGTCATTTGGCCACAAACTAACAAAGAATTTCAGATGATAAAAGTTTCAGAGGACGAGCCTTGACCTCATTATTTGTGTTTTTCCTGCCTTCTGTAAGAATCCATTACACCATTTTTCACACCTTTTGTGTTTATGTTTTTTAAACATATTAATTCACCACATTTGTTTTAGAGTAAACCAAGAGTTCCTGCTTGTTTTCATACTTTCTTATCATGGCTTTTTTCCCCCTTCAAAGAAAAGGGCTAGAGTTTCATACTGTGACGCCAAATGTCTAATTCAATCTGCCCCAACAAGTAAAAGCAAAGCTTTTCAAAGTGTTGTTTTGATATAAACAAGAAACAGAGCATATACAGCAATTGTAAAAAAGTATTCACCCTCTTCAATGTTCTTATCTTTTATAGCTGTCAAAAATCAGTCATGGTCAAAATCAGCTACTTTACAAAAGACTTTAAAAAACTTCAGTGTAAAAGTGAAACCAAACTAATACAAAATAAATACAAAATATAATGTAAAATAAGTGCATAAATGTTTACCCCCTTTAAAGTGACAAACCTAATTCAACTGAGGAAAAAATTTGCTGAAAAGTACAAGTCAGGGATTGGGGGTCATCCCTGTGTTTCCTGGTACTTTTGTTCCCCGAATCCTTATGGCACCTGCAAACATATCCCTACTCCAATTGATTTATATATCTTAGGGAAGTGAGCACATTAGAATCTGGGACTGGGCAGTTGTTGATGTTCCAGTAACTATCGGACCTGAGACAGACCACAGACAAAATAGCCAAAAAATACAAATTTGAGCCACTTTATAAGACAGAGATTAAAGATAGATCTCTATGGTGAACATAATGCACCTACCCATCATTTCTACTGTTTTACAGATGGATCCATTCTGAAGGGGTCAGTAGATGCAGGAGTGCTGATTTTGCACAACCAGAGTGGAAGAGAACACAGATACACATTGGTTTTGCAACTGTATCTCAAGCTGAGATATTTGCAATCCATCAGTGTGGCATCTCTCGTAGACCTTCAGTGTACACAAAAATAATTTTTTATACACAGATAGTCAAGCTGCAAATAGAGGTCTCAAAGGGATACACTTCATGTCATTACTTGCTTGGGAGTGTGCCAAAACATTCAATCAACTGAGAGACAACAGTGTTACTGTTAAATGTGTACTAGGACATACTGGCATCAATAGTTACAAAAGAGCTGACCACCCTCAAGCTGGCAATCAGGCCAACGTCAAAGGACCAGAGTCCATTGCATCCATGCAAACACCTTTGAAAGTTTAGCTGTATCTTGACCCAAGGAGTGGGTGAAAGCAGACTGTCGGCTGCAGAATCTGCAGCGCAGAGGAGAAGGGACAGAGGGGAGAGGTAAAATAAATTTGAAGCTAAGTTTTTGGAAAAAAAAAATCCACAAGATTACCCTCTACATCCATACCTGGAAAATGGCCTGAAATCCTTGTAATTTACAGACAATACGTGACATGCCGTTGCAGACATTTCATCAACAGTCTGGAGCAGTGTTTCCCAAAGTTGGGGTCGAAACCCAAAGTGGGGTCCCGAAACATCAAGGTGGGGTCCTGAAAATATTTTCTGAATTTATTACGTTGTTGCCTTAGTTGTTACAAAGGAGTGAGAGTAGTATATTTAAAATGGATAAATGTAGTATAAAAATATTGTTACTATGCCCATGTTTTGTTGACCTGATACAAATGTTTTTCATCCAAAAATATCTGGGGGCACAGGTCTCTGCTACTGTTATTTTGTGGGTCAAAAGCTGAAAAGTTTGGGAACCACTGGTCTGGAGGACTGACCTACCGACCTGGATTAGACATCAACACTCAATCCGCTGGAGGGAACTGACGGACTATACTGGGAAGTGATAAACAGTCCAAATCAGGTTTGGATTGTTCTCTCATCACCCTGACAGGGAAAACTTTAAATACACTGGCTGAAGTCCTAACTGGGCACAACCAGCTCAACCACCACAAAATGGTGACAGGACTCTGTGACAATGGTCTGTGTGATCCCTGTGTCACTGAGACCTTTTTGCACTACTCTCAGTACACCCATCCACATGTTTCCTGGTACCTATGTTCCTCGAATCTCTATGTTCACTCGTACCTGTGCTGTCCCCGGTACACCCATTCTAATGCTTCCTGGTACCTATATTCCCCAGTACTTACAGTACACCCATCCTTATGTTTCCTGGTGCCTACTGTATGTTTTTCAGATCACAATGTTCCTCTTGGTTCACCCATCCCTATTTTTCTCTGTACTATGATGTCAAGGATGTTTCACAAATCCCTCTGTTCCCCCAGTTACACCCATCTTTGTTGATACTATCCTAGCTATCCAATGCAATGTTGACCTACAGGGGTTGGACAATGAAAGCGAAACACCTGGTTTCGGACCATAACATCCCTTTCAGACAGCTTCCTCTTGTGTCCACAGTTAATCCTGTTGGATGTGGTTCGTCCTTCTTGGTGGTATGCTGACATTACCCCTGGATAGCGTGGCTCTTGATACATCACAAAGACTTGATGTCTTGGTCACAGATGTGCCAGCAAGACATGCACCAACAATTTGTCCTCTTTTGAATGGTATGTCACCCATAATGTTGTGTGCGTTGCAACATTTTGAGCAAAACTGTGTTCTTACCCTGCTAATTGAACCTTCACACTCTGCTCTTACTGGTGCAATGTGCAATTAATGAAGATTGGCCAAATGACAGGTGTTTCAGTTTCATTGTTTAACCCCTGTATGAGTGTGGCATTTCAATTAATCATACTCAATGCAATAGGCTATTGGATGTCCACCAATCCTTCAATTGCAGCCAGTGTCTTGGTAATTATCTTGTATTTGTCAGGCGATCAATCACAGATGCCTCTGAGCTCAGTTGGCAGCATAATCAAAGTCTTCAGCTGTATATGGAGGATTTTTAAAGCTTGATTGCACTACATTAAATTAGTTTAACAATGCTTCCCCACCTCCCCCCTCAACATTTTTGTGTGTGTGTGTGTGTGTGTGTGTGTGTGTGTGTGTGTGTGTGTGTGTGTGTGTGTGTGTGTGTGTGTGTGTGTGTG